TCACTATATTAGACATTAATAAATATGAATAATTTTAAAAATTAGTGTTATAAAAAAATAAATATATAAATTTAGGAAATGCCACGGTTCCATTACGGATCCATTTCGTCGGGGTTTATAATCGTTAGATCATCATGTAACCGTCGAAAATAATTGATCTAACGCTTACAAATTCCAACGAAATGGTTCCGTAATCATACCTCTCATCCAATAAAATACCAACTTCCAAGTGTCGTTCTCTGATTTGACAACAGCAACCGCGTTTGACCCCACGCTTCAAACTGGAATTACTGTTATACCCTCTCCTTCCCGCGGGCAGCTTCCTCGCCTTCCAATTTGCCTATCATGCCCCGCAGACCTTTCTGTCTCCTGCCCGTTTTGCGCGGGCATCTCTAGTCAATCTCGCGTCGTCTACTCTCAGCAGCTTCAACTCTCGACGACCAATAATCCACTCACTCTGCAAATTTCCGATATATAGAGACAGAAATCTGTGCATATATATACATACGCCGACACATTCGCACCATTTATAGAAACTGTGGAGCGATTTGAAGCTTTGTTGAGTCCTCTTCAGTTTTTGGATTTCGATCGAGGCTAGGTAATGTGGAGGGTGGCGCGATCTGCGGCGTCGGGCCTCCGCCAGTCTCGGCGGCGGGCGATGTCGACGGCGATTCCCGGACCCTGCATCGTGCACAAGCGCGGCACGGATATTCTCCACGATCCTTGGTTTAACAAGGTTGATCTTGTTTTATCACTCCTCGTTTTAATGGTAGTTTTGCCGTTTAAAGCTCGATTGTGTTGTATTCGAGACTGCTGAGATTGTGATATTGTTATTGCACTTTGGGATCGGACGTGTGATGATTTTGAGATCTGTTTAAGTGTTTTTAGCCTTTTTTTTTTTCTCGGTTTGACTATCGTCTTCATCATGTTAAATCACTGCAGTTTTAATGTTATTGAATGAAATGTAAATATATTTATTTAGCTTGAAATCCATAGGAGCTGTGTGGATATAAGGATATGCAGAACAAAGAAGAAACTGATTAATTTTTGTCTGTATTTGTAGAAACAAATTTACTTTGGGGTTGTTGGAAGTTGCTGTCTCTTGTTGGGTGGCTAAAAGAAGTGTGGGTTTCTATTAAGAGAAACAAACTTACTAGTTGTTTTTACTTTTGCATCAGTAGATTGGTTCCACACTAAAGCCACTGATGGATATGTAAACTGAAAGTATGGAGCTTCACAGAACCTATGTTAGTCGAACTATCGTTTGGTAGTTTGACATCTTTCTTTTATTCATGCCTATACAAACCTGATGATTGTTTTTCCTAGCATTAGGCAGCCAAATGAAGATGTAGAATCAAATTTGAGTATCTTTTTACATCCCATGCCTTGATGAATCAATCATATACTCACTGAAATCCCTAAAGAACAGGATACAGGCTTCCCTTTGACGGAGAGAGATCGTCTGGGATTACGTGGTCTGCTTCCACCACGAGTTATATCATTTGAGCAGCAATATGATCGTTTCAGTGAGTTTACTAGCTCAGCTGCTACATTGAATTGGCTAGAACTAGATTTCATAATAAGTTTTATTTATGCTACTGCTTGTGTGTTGTTAGTGGAATCATATAGGTCCCTGGAAAAAAATACTCAAGGGCAACAGAATAAATTTGTATCCCTTGCAAAATGGAGAATTTTGAATAGACTCCATGACAGGAATGAGACATTATACTATCGAGTAAGTGTTTGACCCATTTGCCATGGATGGTACTAAAGATTGCTCTCATGAATGTATAAGCTGAAGGTGTCCTTTATTTTATATTGCAGGTCCTGATAGATAACATTAAGAACTTTGCCCCCATAATATACACTCCAACAGTTGGATTGGTGTGCCAAAATTACTCAGGTTTGTTTAGACGTCCGCGTGGCATGTATTTCAGTGCCAAAGATAAAGGAGAGATGATGTCTATGATCTACAACTGGCCCGCTCAGCAGGTATTATTAAACTTAGATGATGGCTTTGTTGTTTAAAACGATACAATCAGTAATTTCCGCCGGGTATCATATGTTTTCTTTTTGTAGCAATTTCTAGTTTTTCAATCCAGAAAATTGTGACCAATCATCTTTGGGACGTAGAAGCCTGCAAATATAAATGCAATTTGACATGTTATATATTAGCATAAGTTTGTTATGTGGCCATTGATTATAGGATTTTAT